ACCGACACCGCACGACCGACCACGACCCACGCACGCACGCACGACACACACACACACACACACACTACAACTAACTACTACGTTACGTACTACTCTACTCTCTCTCTCTCTCTCCCTCCCGTCCGTCGTCGTGTGTGTGTGTGTGTGTGTGTGTGTGTGTGTGTGTGTGTGTGTGTGTGTGTGTGTGTGTGTGTGTGTGTGTGTGTGTGTGTGTGTGTGTGTGTCTGCAAACTTTTCTCTCAAATATAGACACGTTCCCTCGCTCCCTTTTTCTTTTCGTTTCTCGCTCTCACTATTTATCTCCCTCGCGTGCGCCACAGGTCTGACGTGCGACTCGTGTCTACGTTTGCAGTCCAGCTCTAGATTATGTTTGGACACTTACCAAACAAAGGAGCGACAGCGACAGGCCTAGGGAATTCATCGTGGTTCTTTGCGGAGACTAGCGCTACTCTGCGAGAAAAAACATAGACACGATACTCATTATCTAGGCTAATGACATGAGTTTAATAATAAATAAATAAATAAATAAATCGATCTATATATATGGTTTAACGTCAGTAGTATATTTGTAGTTTACCAGTATATTATTTTGCCTCCACGGCGCAAGCGAAATTGCAAGCTTGAAATAGCATACTCATCTGTTAATACCCCATCATTTATATGGGTAATCACATGTAGGCTACATACGACTCGTTATTTCCGTCTCAAGAGCGATAGTTTCAAGAGTGAAAGAGAAGGCGAGATGATATACCGTAGCAATAGCTCTCTTACCGCAGTTATTGCAGCCGCACGTTCTTCCTGGTGGTCACCAGCACACAAATACACACGCGAGCACACACAAGCACACGGGGCGCCGAGAAACACTGTAATGCTCGTATCGTTGTCCTCGCCCAAGTTCCGCCCGCAAATAGATCGTAGACGATATTTGACGGCAGTAAGCTTTTATACCGGCTTTCGATTTTTACTAACCTACTTTACTCGCTGACCCAGATACGCTCGCAAGGGGGCGCTGCGACGCGCGGCCGGGGGAATCCCAATAGACTATAATATAGAGATGTGCGCGCGTGCGGGGGTAAAGAGCACAAGCTAACTTATACTCAGCGAGCGAGTCGGTTTGATTGACAGCTCTCGATACTTGACTTCGTTTGCCCTTATTGCGGGTATAGATATATAGCACCTGCGGGGGCTGCGAACGTACACACACCGCGGGCGTCAGCAGCAACGATAAATGATATGCAAATCGCGTTGGGTTGTGGGTTTACG